AGTGCACAGACCAAACTCTGAGAATATTAAATTAAAAGCTTTATTACAGCTGTGAATTCTTTGTTCTGCAGATAAAATTGACAGCTAGGATGCAGAGCTATGAACATCTCTTACATTTTGTAGTCTTCTCATAGATTTTTTCTTGAAGTGCAAGTTCCTAGGGCTGGCTGTAAAGCTTTCAAACAGGAATAATCTAATAACCATTCTGTTCCTCAAAAAGATAGGCTTCACTTAAACAAACAAATAAATAAAAGAGGACCTCCTGCAGCACACTGCAGTGGTGATTTTATTTATACCAAATTCTTTGTAGGATCAGCTTTTTTTGGTCTGTTTCTTAGCATAGTGTCACAGTCTGAGGGAAGGATAAGACAGGTTTATATTTGTCAGTCTATTTACACCTAATCCGACTGGAATAATAGGTTAAATATAGTAGGGAGTTAGCTTGCATACAGCATGACCATGCACAAGCAAATGAGTCACTGAAGACTGGCCTGGCCCTGAAGAAATCCTTTAACTCTGAACTTTGAGGTGTGCTTTGCAACAGTCTTTAACTGCCGTTGATCTTCAGTCTTTGTCTGATCAAGTTTCAAATGGAAAAATGCCAAAATTAATTTCCTATGGCTTTGGTAATGTCAAATCTCAAAGAAAATTTGATTTTTTTTAGAGGCCATATACTGAAGACTGTTCATAACCTGAACTTCATCTACTCTCTGTAACATACCAAGAAGCAAAGTGGCACTCCCCTGAATGTGGCTATCTAATTATGCACTCTCGCAATCCCCCTTTGGGAACGACTCTTTTTTCCAATAACCTGAGCAATGAAGATCCTCCAAATGAATTCACATGAGCAGTACCGAGTCACCTGTAAGGCAATTTGAATACGACTCCAAGGCGTGTTTAATTTTAGATTTTACTGGCACAAAGAATACCAGAGTCGTCAGTGTTAGATGCTTGCGGCGTTTTTTTTTTTTGGAGTCAAATGAAGTAAAAGAAAGAACTGTGGGGAGGATGTAAAACTGGGGAGGTCTAGGACGTTCCAGGACGAGCAGTATCATTTCAAACAGTGTATATTTTATCAGTCTAGAGTCTATAAGAAGTGCTCTTAAAAACTGAGAAACAAATCACGAGTAAGAACTCACCTGTGGTTGAAAGTCAACTGGTTCCAG